CCATTACCCGCTAGCCCGCCCATGACCCATGAAATTTTTGCCCATTTAAGCCCGCCCAATTAGCCCAAATAAGATATTATAAACGGGCGGGCTTAAATGGGCGGGGTAGCCCATTAAACGGGTTGGGCTATGGGCAAGGTATTGGGCTGCCCATACCCGCCGTTTAAGTTTTAAGTTTTTAAAAATATTTTTATTCTTCATTAATTGATGATATTGTTTCTCATTCATCTTTTATCAAACATTCATGTTTGTCTAAGCTTTTATTTTATCCTTTAGGTAAAAGTTGGAATTTTCAAAGTTTATGAGACTTTATGATTGGTGACTACTTTTATGATTTTATCAGACTTAATTGTTTGCGAATCTAAGTGAGGTTGTGTGATTGAATATGGTTGATGTTATTTCATATTTGATTTGCTATTTGGCATGTAAAATTTATTGACAGCTTCATAAGGTTACATATACAAAATAACTATATTGAAAAAAATTTAAAAAAAAAAATGGGTTACCCCGTAACCCGGTCAGCCCAAACGGGCTGCCCCGTAGCCCATTTAATACGGGCTAAATGGGCTACTACCGGGTTATGGGTTAGCCCATGCCCATTTTGAATAAAGGGCGGGCTATGGGCTAACCTTCGGATTAGCCCACCCCGCCTATTGCTCAGCCCTAGGGAGTGGGCAGCCTTGTGAGGGGGGGGGGATTTTCAGAAGGCTGCCCACTTCCCGCTCTGATACGTTAGGAGTATATTCTGTGGAGAGAGCGAAAGTATCACATCAGAGTTGTGGGGATTGAAGGCGGCTTGGGATGGTGGCGACCGTCAAGTGGCGCTCCAAATGGATGCTTCACAAATTCTTCCACTCATGACACAGACTTGAATGTTCATCCTAACTCCACTTCTTCACTCACGCCCCGATTTTTTTGCAAGTTTTAAATAATCAATCTATGAATACTAAATAGATTAAAAATATAATTTTGTCTTTAAACATGTTCTTATAATAAATAAATAAATAAAAATAAATATATAATGTAAAAACATATGACAAAAAAATTAAAAATAAAATTAAAAAATGGAGGCGGGTTCAGTTTTCACGTGTTAGCGTCTTAGCGAACATAGGGAGTTCCTGCGCAAAAAGACAAGTGTGGTGGGGCCAGGAGCACAGTTGGGGACTCAGGTGGGTCCCATGTTTATTGAAGATCCCCCCCACGCCTTCCACTCTTTTGTGTTTATCTTCTGCTGTTGCTAGCCAAGAAGCACGGCCTGTACGGTGCAGACCCCATCCACTCGTTTTACACCCCACCTCTCTTCCATTTTATGTCTATCTTCTTCTTTCCCCTTTCTCTCTCCTCCCACGATAAATACAATCAATCACATTATTGTACTCTCAAAATATATAAAAATATCCACACCCACCATACCACAGTTCATTCTGGTTCCATTTGATTACAAATACATGGGACCTGCTCAAATTTTTATATACGCATAACTTAAACACGAATAAAGCCATAAAATGATAATTGAAACACATTTTTATCGTAAAATACATACTCCTCTGGTCCTTATTATAAGACCCCATTTGATTTTTTATTTGGTCCTAATTATAAGACCCCAATTCATTTTGTCTCTTATATTTATGCATTTTTTTCAAGATAATCCTTCTAATAATGATAGTTTTAGCCAATATACTTAATTAGCAAGGATATTTTAGGAATGATAACACTTATTTATTATAAATAATCAACTTAACTTACTTCCTTAATCTTCTCAAATAAGTCAATTAGGTCTTATAATTAGGATCGGAGGAGTATTACGCTTTTAAAATTCTTTCCATTTTACATACCCAACAGCTTCTCCGATGAATAGGCAATTTTTCTTTTAAAAAAAAAGGTCCGATCAACTTGTTACTCTGTTTCGTGGTATGAACCGAGGGGCTGTGGCTCCTAGATATATCTTGTTTTTCTTGGGCCGGCTGGACGTGGGCAGTTGACAGTTGACACAATTACCGCACCTGAGAGCTCTTGGGACCCGACCCAAGTTGCCATTTTTAGAGATTGGGCCGTCACAGAAGACGGAAGATGGGACCCAAAGTTGCAGTTTTTGAAGTAATTGGGCCGTCACAGAAGAAGGAAGAAGGGACCCAAAGTTGCTGTGACTTTGAACCCAACCACCTCACCGGCCTCCCACCTGCTGGCTATTCATTTTCATTTATTGTTCCCCTGATCCTCAAGGAATAAGAATAAGAGCATTGCTAGATGAACCACCCTGACGCTGGAGCATTATGCAGTGTTTGGTATGTGACCAAATGTTTTCTAGGAAGGGAATGAGAAACGCGTCTACATAACAAACATTCATTGGTGCATGTCCACATACCGCATTTGCGCTTAATTTCTCTCACTTGACACGGAAGCGAAGGCAGCTTTGTGAAAAGGGGAAATTGATATATGGCTTTTGCTGAAAGCGTTTTAAAATCACAATCCAAACACGGTTTTAGTAACTATCATCGAGGTATCTGGACCTATTGATATTGCTGGTATGAGTTGGCCATCCATATTTGCGTCATTGACACTTGCCCATGCCTGTTGAAATCAGGCTGTGATTGTTAGAATATTAAGAAAAGCGAATGTTATATTCTCCGCAACATCTGTTTTCCCTGTTAGAATTCGGTGGTTAATGGACAGTGGCGTTCCTGCGATATTAAGGGCGAGCAATATGTTTCTATCTGAAGCCCACTCACCTCTTACAGTGTGTAAAGTGCTTCGATCCTTCTCACCAATTATATAAATGCGTCTGAACCACATGATTGGCTCAACCATTACATTCGAAACCCATAGAAAATTCGAAATTGGCCACTGAGACATCAGGAATGAATGGAGGGAAAACGGAGAGGAAGTTTGACCACTAACAAGCTTCTATGATGCTCAGCCTCCCTGTGAAGACCAAAAGCTCGGCCCCAGAATGAATCGAGTGCTGGAAGTGGGATCACATGTGGACAACAGTCTCAAATATCGTAATACCATTATACTCCCTCTAGTTCAAAATACAAGCTAACATTTGTTGAGAGGCTAGTTTTTTTTTTTTTTTGCAAGATAACACTTCAAATTTGTCTAATCATTTAATGAATATTTTCCAATTTTACCCCTAACACATGTATTTAATTTTCTTGGTTATTGATGGTTTTAATTATATAAAGTATTAGTTCACGAGACATGAAAAGAGAGAAAGGTGTTTTAAACAAAGGGAATAGAGGAGAGAAGTTTCAATGAATATTTCCAACCCCCTTGTATTTTAAATTACATTTTGGTTGACTTTATTTCCCTCCACTAATTCAATTTATTCATAACACACTCTCTCTCATCTTTTACCCCAATATATTCTCTTTCCTTCTTTTTTTTTTATTTACTATTTTTTACTTCTCTCATTAACAATGGTATGTTTAGAAAAAATATATATATACCTTACACATTATTGTTTTAAACTTCTTTTATTTCATTTCTTGATAAACATAAATGAACTAATTTTAACTTGTATTTTGAACTAAAGCGAGTATTATATAAAGCCCAATGAACTTTTTTAGATTAACTTATAAGTAACTTTTCAAATGTGATTTAAGGAATACAAAATAAGCACGTGAGGAGGGTTTTGTCTCGACTTACATGAATTTGTTTAAAGTCCGTTTTGAACGAAATTCCAAACAAACCCCTTAACTTTACATAATTTTCAAAAATATCTTAATATCGCATCAATGTGGGGGAGACTTGTGGGGGAGATGTGATGAAAATATTCTGCCGCCAACACTGTAAGCTATCAGCATTTAAAAATATGTTCATATTAAGCCTCACAATACATTAAAATAAAAGCCTGAACTACCTGAGACAAGTTTGGGTGATGAAACTATCTGGGCGTAAAGCAAGCTCTGGTAATTTTTTTCCCCTGAAAAAACCAAGTATAACAGGAGGAGAAAAAAGCAAACCAAATCTGAACTTATATTCAAGAAAAATTGGAAAAAGGAAAAAAGCCTTGGGTTTTAAGTAAATAAATAATTTTCATTTCTAGAAGTAAGATGGCTATGAAACTCAAAATGAATACTCTTATTTACTTTGTCTGGATATTGAATAACAATATTAATGATCAGTACTTTATCGTCACTTTATGTTACATTAACAAACTTACAATTAATGCGACGTGTTTTTCTTTCTTTCTTTCTTTCGGGGGTGAGGGGGGCTGCATGCTTTTTGTTGCCTTCAAAACTGTGTTATCTAATTCCGGAGGCTAGTATAAAGTGACATAAATAACAGCATTAAAGGCCAAAGGGACAAACATAGTAATATCTTGTAACGGCTATTTTATTTTTTCAAAAATAAGAAGCGAGTGATTTTTTTTTTTTGGGGACCAGCAGAAGCGAGTGTTTTAAAAGAGAGAAGGAAAAGGAAAAATGATTTTTTTTTTAATAATGCCCTAGTTTCATAGCAGAAAATTAGGCTAAAAATCCAGGCCTTTAGAAATCAAGCCGAGCGGGAGGGGTTTAGGAGAAAAAAGGTACAAAGCATCTCCAGTTCGACTAAGGAAGCAATTTAAACAAGTAATTTGGAACAATGTAGGCATGAACGCTGAAGCTGGAAGGATGATAAGTTTCAATAGTCCGGGGACAAACCCACTTTGATTTAGTAAAGTGGAGACCACCCCGGCTCCCCACTGATCAGGGTTAGCTGGTAGTTGGGTCGTATCAGCCCATGCTTTTGTAATATTTGTCTTCTTTTTAAGATTTTGTTGCTTAAATAAACAGGGTAAATCGAATTAAGAAAGGATGGGTAAGTTGGAACAGGTCACCCACATAAGAACCATATTTCTTTTCTGAATTTTTAATGTATTTCTTGATGATTTTGATTGATACTTGCAATTACATTTTCTAACCCACCCCGGTACCCGCGATCCAGCCTGGGAACCCGCTTTTTCTTTCTTTCTTTTTTTCCCCCCTCATTATTTAAGCCTTTCTTTTGCAATATTCACAGCTCGTTTGGTCCATAAAAAAGTAAGGCGGAGAGGCTAAGGTTGGCTGGCTTGACGCTTCAATCGAAAGGCTTTGGACAAAAGGGGCAACCCACACCCAGTGAATCAGCGCATATTTGCCTCGGCCACGACGACGTAGCTCCATTATTTCAGAGGCGAGGCAGAGAAAGAGGAACAGTGGAATCGAGGAAGGAGAATAAGAAGGGGAAGGAGGGTTTTGTTAAAGCGCTGGACCCAAGCAGGATTTGTTTTTGTTGGACCGACGACTCGGACAAGATGAGCGAGCAGAGTACGCAACAGAACCAGTTGGTGGTGCAGAATTCGGGAAGCCTCAGCTTTAGCAGCCAGATGTCCAAGGAAGATGAAGAGATGTCGAGGTCAGCTCTCTCAACTTTCAAAGCCAAAGAGGAAGAGATTGAAAGGAAGAAGATGGAGGTGAGAGAGAGGGTTCAGGCTCAGTTGGGTCGTGTCGAGGAAGAAACCAAGCGTCTCGCTTTCATTCGTGAGGTATGCTCCTTATTAATTTCTGCTACTCGAAATTCGACCTAGATTTCAGAGAAAATGTCACCTGTACTTCGCTGCCGAACGACGATTATTGGATTAGCTTTATCTCGAGAAATAATTGTAGGATAGAGACTGCTCTTCAAAATTATGTGGTCTCAACAACTTCTCTCCCTGCCCTCTTTTGCTCTGAATTATGTGGAAATTAATGTTTTAGGAAATCGAGAAAGTATTTGGGATTCTACAAAACGAGAAAGATAATTGCGTTACCTTCCATGATAAAGGATTAATTTTGTGTGTTTGTGTGTGCGTGTTTCGTTCCCCCCCGGGGGGGGGGGGGTTTGCCAAGTTACCACGGCCATAATTTCTGATACACACAAGTTCCAATTTTTTCATGTTTCTCCCAGTACATCGTTTTATTTTTAACGAGGAGAACGACATGGATTTGAAGAATAATTGAAGCATTCGGGTATACCCGATCTGTGTGGTTTTGCACGCAAGACAGGGTGAATTTGCAGCGCAGAAGAGTCTTTGCCCCCTCTATTTCTGATCGGGGGAATGCTGAACTCTGAACTCTCCAGAAATGTTCAGGCTTCAGCGCCCCAAGCTTAAGTCTGTTCTGCTCCTTGAGAGCCATATAGTTTGTCTTTCGCGGAAGTTGTGGAAGTGAGACATGGCCTTTATTTCAGGCTCAAAGTTGTCATATAACTAACCATGTGCAATTGTAATTACGTATGAGGATGTTGATGCTTATTTTTTTGGTTCTTTCTTCTATTTGAGGAATATCAGGAGCTCGAAAGCCTGGCAGATCCGATGAGGAAGGAAGTAGCGGTGGTCCGGAAGAGGATTGATTCAGTAAACAAAGAGCTAAAGCCCTTAGGCCATACCTGTCAGAAAAAGGTAAAACAAATTGAATATGCGTGGGTGTCGAATGTAGTATTAGGGACGTTGTTGAAACTGGCTGCAATGTGTTACAGGAGAGAGAATACAAAGAAGCTCTTGAAGCTTTCAATGAAAAGAACAGGGAAAAGGTACAGCTAATCACCAGGTTGATGGAGGTTAGTGTCATATTTGATTAAGCGGCCGCCGAGTGGTTTGATTTCTCTGATTTCATTAGTTTGCTTATTCTAATACGTGAGGTGTTGTCTTGTGAATGCACGATCGTTGTGAACAGCTGGTGGGTGAAAGTGAGAGATTGAGGATGAAGAGGCTGGAGGAGCTGAGCAAGAGCATAGAAACCATGCAGTGATCTACCCAGCTGCTGACTCTGATTAGGCTTGCGTGGATATTGGAGATGACTTAGTATATTTATATGTATGTGTGTCTTGTGCTTGTGTATTCTGTGGTGTTAATGTTTGTTTCACTAGCATTGGTTGGGCTATTAACCTAATTTAGGAAGGGAAATACCCTACAGACAGGTTTGTAACTAGAATACTTGCATTTCGTTTTGTTTTTCCTCCGAAAAAAACTTCAAACCAGTTGATAGTGCTGTTTTGGCTTTATGTAATTTATTGATGTAATTTAAGTTATGTTGCCAAGGGAAGAGGGACTCTTGGCGATGTCTTGGTAAGTAGGGCTCCAGCACACAGCTAGAGCAGTGTAACTAAATTGCAGAAGCCTGTCTTATGACCGTATTTGGTTGCTTCTGAATGGAACATTTATATATTATGTAAGAATTAAAGCCTCGCAATTGTGGTTCCCTTTTTTTTTTTTTTTTAACAAGTCTGTGCATTTTCCTCCATGGCTTTCTTGTTGCTCTTGTTTTATTCATTGATTATATTAAAAAAAAGGTGAAAAATGTAAATGTGAATGGAATGGAAAGCAGAGCAGCCGCCAAATAAAAGGCGCTTTGGCAGCGGAAGAAACTTGGCCCGGTGATGGCATTTCGTCCAGCGGATAATGACAGAACGAAAAACTTGAAATTGGCATTGCTTTCGGTTTATGATGATGGCAGTATCAGCGGGACACATGACCATCCAACTGCGTGGCAGAGATCTTAACGAGTTCCTTGCACAAAAAGAAAGGGGATCAAGAATTGATACGACTTCCAAATAGCTTACAGAAATAAAGGTGACAGCTAGGTCAATGGACTGCCTTGTTATTTGTTAATTGACCTGGTTAATGATTATGGTTACTAATAATTAAATATTATTCTAGAATGAGCGCATCATTAGTTCAACGCCCCTCTATAATATATGTATATTCTCTGTGGCGCCTTATGAAATTGAATCTCTTGCGAAATTCAATTGATTTTAAAACCCCAAAATCCAATACCACGAGATGACGGTTTTAACACGGCGTTGTCTGGCATCATTTTCCTTTTTTATAGTTTAAGAGCACTATTTTTCGATTCAACGCATCTTTTTATGCCAGCGTTACTATCAATCTTTATCTACATTATTGTGTTGGTTATCTTGAACTGTTACTCCCTAAAGGTTAAACAAAAAAACATTTTTTTCCCACGAAAAGAACTTCTGCTTCACTGTAATATCAGTAATATTAATACAATATTATATAGGAGTTCGTGAATATTTTGTATCAGTCGAACAGATCTATGATTTTTGCTTCCCCCGCCCACCGCCGGCTGAAAGTAAGAGGCTTACATGTATTAGGTTGATATTTTATATCATGTTTCTAAAAAAAATTGTGAAGGCTGCGCTCCTGACCCCTCTTCACCCACCCCTTAAAATGGTTAATCTGACTTTTTTAACGCTTATCTAACATTTTCAAACCCCCCAACCAAAAAAAAAAAAGAGTGTTTCTCGTTCTGACTCTAGAATTAGTTATTTAGAATTTTCATGTAAATATATAAGATTCACACTAGTTATCTCGTAAATCGTATATATATTTAACCTCCACGGTATTTTTTCCAAAAAAAAAAAGGTCCAGGATATACGCATAATGAATTCAGAACTAAATGGTGAACACCTTTATGAGCCTGGATTTAAATAAGAAAAATTTTCTTAATTTTCACTCCAAAAAAATATATATCATGGTAGCACCAGATCCGTAACAACAAACGTGCAGACTATGGAGGCGTAGTGGCGATGGAATGTAAATGTATTTATGAATTGTTGTGGAATTTACGTTGTTCTATGAGATATGGTCTATGACCTATATGGTCTTTTATGTAGACACTATAAATTCAGAATGTTTCAGGTGGAGTCTTGTTCTTCCTTGCCGTAGAGTCCGAGTTGATGGGGTTCCATTCCCAATGGAAGTTGCATGGGATTTGAATGTGAAACATACGAAGATGACGAAAATGCAGAGACGATCACTCTCTATAGAAATGATTGTCAATGTTTTGCGTCTGTCTGCGCAGTTCTTCATAATTATTGGATACTATAACAACTCATGGATTTCTCCTCACATTGAATCGTTCGTTTCCTCTCTAGCAAGGCTGGAAATTGGGAGAGATGGTTCGTTTCAGTTTGGAAGTCCAGTGTATTTTATTCAGTTTCTTGTGAAGGCGACCAGGTTGGGTGAGAGCCTTATGCGATGTGAAGAAAACAAGAGAACATAATAGGGGTGTAAATACGCGCAAATCAATTTACTCGGGGGCTGCCTGCCCTTGACTGATGTGAGTTGCAAGCTATTTGTGTCCGAATGCATAAGCTGCACTATTCACAGTATTTCGCTAGATACATAAAAAGAATAATTGATGCGAGTTCCATAGCCCATAAGTGGTCACTGAATTATGTCCCGCCCAACCTCCGTACTAGTTTACAAATAGTAGTCCTAGTAATTCCAATTTCCAAGGTCGACTCCCTCTGCTGACACGCTCATCACTAATTACGCGGTGGGCCTTCCTATACATGACCCATTCCTCTACGGGCCTTACTAACCCAACAGGCCGGGTCATTAAGCCTCTCTGGAAGAATGCCCCTTCCCGCACATTTTCTCCCCTCTTTTTAATTGCAGTTGTACGACGAAGCCCAAACATAGGATTCGAGCAAGCGCTGTGTTCTGTATATGTGTGAGTGTGAATTTATCTATCATTTGATGTTTGGCGCAGAAACAACCAAAGGAGGACCTGTTCACTCCAATGAGCCAAGTGGGCGAACATATATCAATTCACTTTTATTATTATATATAGTATGAAGCAGAAGAAGGTGTGGTGTAGAACATGCTCTGCGGAAGAGTAATACTTCCAAGCGATATGGGTGAAAAACAAATCACCAGCCTCCGCCATTAGAATCTACACAAAATGACAGGGCAACACACCCATGCCCGTATCATGTGCTTGATTTGTCCTCAAAACATGCATATGCAGCCCCGGGTCGAGGCGCATGATGTTGGGCTCTGCTTGCCTGCCCGGAGCCAATAAATGAAGCTGCGCAGGGAGTAAAGAAGGCGGTGGGTGGTCTCATGAAGTACGAAAGATTTGGATGTCCGCTGTGAGAGGAACCTGTTCAGCTATTCGGATATTAAAAAAATACTCATGCCGTATGCGTTTCCTGGACACGTTCGTAGTCTCCAAAGTATCGTGTTGAATAGGATGTTGACCAGGAACACGAATACGACAACAGAGCCCTTCCACAGCAGTGAGGGGAATCCTATGTAGTCTTCCCACGTCACGGGGGACAAGTATCAGACCAGATGTGGTCCAACCATTAGTGCACACGTGGGAATTCATCTCGGCCCTCCCTCCTCCTTCTTTATGGCATGGACCGGCACCTCCTCCAATGCCAACTGACGCTGCATTCATCAGGCCCTCTCGCCTCTGCTTTGTCGTTTCGCAAAGACACAAACCCTCCCCTCTCCCGCGTGGGCCCCGCCTCACATTGATTCCATATTCGTTTTTGCCATTAATATCACTTCATGTGCCTTAATACTACGACTAATCAACACGTTGTTAATGTTACACACGCACACATACATAAATTTGAAGTTGCACGAGCGCAGATGTGGCTTACTTTTTACGTTGCGTCACTTGTCTGGCATATATCTCTTCAAGCTAAGTTACCGGCTGTCATGAAAATTCCCTTGTCCTTCTATTGAAAATGGAATATGGAGAAATCTGGAGCATAGATATATACACACGCTTTGAGACTGTGTGCGTAATAGATGATATGAGATTGTGGCCTTGTTTGGTAGCTGAGAGTGTGGCGATGAGTAGTTGCCATCATTGGTGATTGTCTTATATGATGAACGCATGCAGCGATGGAGTGCTGATGAAAAAGAGAGGATATGATGGAAGTCGGAAGATAAACCAAGAAATCGTGGAGAAGTTGGATGGCAATACAAATGGATCGCAGCGAAACAGCCAAGGGAAGTCATGTCCTGCACAGATTCCATGAATCCAACTAAAGTATGGCTTCCTATGTTCAATGTGGCATGATGAGCATCACCTGTTTATCCATATAAATTAGCCAGGGATGAATGTAGTTTTAATTTAATTTCTCTGTAAATGCCGCCAAGAACCAAACGCGTACGGTTGATTTATAAGAAGAATGCGGAGGGCGTGTGATTGAGGGGGAAAAAATAATATTGAGACATGATGTGCATGCAGTTCACCAACAAACATGGAAAGAGGGCAGAGGAATAATTTAATGATTCAATGGTACTGCCCTTCGTATATGCTGTCTTGTCCATCCCGTTGCATGGTTCTGTAAATTGGGCTGGACCAGGCGACGTCAAAGTGTCGCTTCGTAAGCGAATTTGAGCATTCATTTACAAGAGAATAAAGGGAGAGGTGGCTCCGGCGCAACCCAATCTGAGGAATTTCAAAGCACCAGTTCGCAAAAATATGAAGAATTTAGCAAGAATAAGCAAATCAGCGAGGCGACAATGACGGATGGGTTGCTCAGATTTGAGTGATGTACGTGAGGATTAATATATATATACATATGTATATGTATATGTATATATTATTTTTGGAGGGCAGAAAAAAGAGTTGATATTTAATTGAATGGCGGGTCAAAATCAGCCACCATTGATGAATTGCTTCATATGACGCCTGATGCATCCAGGGAACGTGTGGGTACGTGTTGTATGTATATTGAAGGTAAGCACACTTGGCTTCCTGATCTATTTTTGACATGCCCAAGGCCAAGGCCAGGGAAGGCTTCAGCCCCTCGTTACTGCACTGTGCTCACCATCTGTAAACTAATCAATCAGCAACGCCCATCAATCACGTTGGCATATTTGAGGGTAAATGCATGTCTGACTCGGTGACGGACGTCTCGTGTCAAAATGTTAAACTTAATTAATAATAAATATATAATAAAATAAAATAATTTCCCTCGCTTGTATATCTAATTTTAAGACTTTAAATTGAAATATGGTGTGCTCTTATTTATCCTCCATTTGTTTTTTCTTCTCTTTTTAAGGAAGCATTAATTTCTGCGTCAATTATTGATATCATTAATACTGATATTAATAACGATCAACGCAGATTTAATAGCCGTAATGTCAACCGCTACAATTTTTTAGACGGCATGGTTCCTTCTTCTTTCTTTCATTTTTTTCATTTTCGATTTCAATATATCTTTGCCACAACCACGATAAATATTTAGTAATATCAACCATATCTGCTTTAATTTTAATGCCTAAATATTTATATTGCGTTAATTTTAATTTTTTTACATATTTAAGAACAAATATTTTATATATATTAATTTACTTTGTACATCTGACTTCCATTTTTCCCTACAAATTGTTTAAAACAACAATCAGTATAATTGTTTGATCAAGATAAATAGATTATATTA